TTAATTTCTCTCCATCATGATATTCACTCCAATACTTCCTTGCAGTCATTATCTGGGGCTGTAAATCGTGATATTAGCTGTTTCCATCTGATTGTATACAATTTTCCATAGCAGGAGTGTTCACTCACTTCGGATGGTGATGGAGGTTGTTTCACTCTCAGGAGATTGAAACACCTTAAGGTAAGAACATTTCACTTCAACCTCAGCAGGTGAACTTTGATATGACATCTTGAGCAGTTCAGTTCCTGTCAGTGTCTGCAGACAAGAGAAGCGTGTGGCCGGTCCTCCTCTTACAGTGCTGAAATAACACTGAGACACAGAAACAGATGGTGGAGGCTGACAGTTCAATGTGACTGAGTCTGTGTCTGTGATCACCGATTGGTTCACCGTCAGTTTAGGTGCAAGAAGAGCTGAAAATGGTACACATGTTATACTATATACTTAAAAAGAAAAAGAAATTGCGATTTCATTCATGTACACAACAGAAAATAGAATAAAGTACTGTACAGCCAAATTATGTGCAAAGAATTGTCAGATTAATTACAGACTATATTAAACTGTGATAACAGTATACTTGGCCATGAGGACTTATATTAATCTGAAGGACTGACCTTGTGCTTTCATCTCAGAAAAGGAATCTGTTGAGGGAAAAAAGAGAGGCAGATGTAATAGTAAACATTCAACTTAAAAATGTAATAAAACATACTAATACATAGTGGACTAACATTAAATATTAATTTGGTACATGCAAATAAAATCCCTGTATTGGTGTATAACTACAGTTTACTGAAAGAAACAGACAAGAGGTTTAATTTACACATGACGACGACCAACAGCAGGTTTCCAGCCATGATGAAGCTGAATAATGTCAAAGTCCCACTTGTGTGTCTGACTACATTAACTTACATACAGATGTGTCATTTTGCAGAACTCGTTCTCAGGAAAACCACACTGACAGAAAGACCTCATAAATACACACACTTGATGTCATTTATAAGGGCCCAGTATGTGTGGTAAAGTATATTTGTATATTTAGATCAACCCTACCACAATGCTTACTAACTGATTCAGAAAAAAATAATATTGTTAATAATTTCCTTTGCTTTCATATAATCTTTCTTATTGTTTGTTTTAGTTGTTGCTTTTTCTAAAATGTCAGAGCTAGTTTTCACTGCTGTTGCGAGTGGGGCAACAGGGACTGGAATGAAGAAAGAGCAGGCAGGAGTCAAAAGTCCAAACAATCAGGCATCAAGGGAAAAAGGTTTTGGGTTGCAGGTATACAGGTTCAGGTGTAGTACAGGGAAGCAATGGTTTTTATGCCCCTGTCTAGGGGACCTGTCCTTGAATATGGAGTGATGACTGCATCAGTGAAGAAATCATGGCACCTGTCAGTGGGTGGGATATATTAGGCAACAAGTGAACATTTTGTCCTCAATGTTGATGTGTTAGAAGCAGGAAAAATGGGCAGCGTGAGGATTTAAGCGACTTTGACAAAGGTCAGATTGTGATGACTATCAAACGTGGTCCAATGAAGGAAAAGTGGTGAACTGGAGACAGGGACATGGGTGGTCAAGGCTCATTGATGCACATGGGGAGCGTGCTGTGTGGTCCGAACCTCTACTGTAGCTCATACTTCTGAAAAAGTTAATGCTGGTTCTGATAGAAAGTTGTCAGAACACACAGTGCCTCACAGTTCGTTGGTATGGGGTTGCATAACATTATGACCATCAGGGTACCTAGATGGTCATAATGTTATGGTATGTTATGTATTAATGAAACAGTAATATTAATACAAAAACATAAAATATGATAAAACATTGACAGAATAAGTACTTTTATTTTTGATACTTTAGGTTACTTTTTTGTTAGAAGGTTGTGAATGCAGGACCTTTACATATTAGGTACTTTACCTAAGTAAAAGATCTGTTCCACCACTGTCTGTCTATTTGTCTGTGAAACTACAAAAATCTTTAATTACACCTTGTTAAGTTACAAGTCCTTTTTAATTGGATGTTCACATTATTTTTCCACCTGTGTGGAGGCAGCTATTTGCCTGTGTGCTTTGACATAACTATACAGAGGTGGAGGGTGATGTTATGAACAAACTTCTCCAAATGGGGTCCTTCAAAAGGTCGGAGACACAAACATTTCTCTGAGCCCTGAACTGATAAACCTAATAACCATAAAACTTAGTTATATATGTCTGATGTCATATTTGATGTTTATTACAACCTGCTCTGTTTGTGTTGCAGGACCACCTTGTCAGATTACCAGGCCCTTTGCAAAGAGTATGCTGGGAGCAGCGACAGTGCACGCACTTTATCAGATGTAAGTGACAGAACATTAGATTTAAAGATAGACACATATGATGCAAGTTTTTTTTATCGTCTGCGGTGCAATAACTATACATTTGTTTGACCAGAGTTAAAATCATCAGCATAGACCTCGTTACCTTTCTCAGACTTTGTGGTCAGCAGTGTTTGCACACTGGCAGAAACATCCGTACAGAATGAACTCTGACATTTAAAAACCTTAAACATTGTTTCTTTTTGCACACAGATTATAACATTATATACTGTTCTCCAGTGTTGGGCAAGTTACTTTTAAAAAGTAATTACTTACAGTTACTAGTTACTTCTTCCAAAAAGTAACTAAATTAGTTACTCAGTTACAAATTATAAAAGTAACTAGTTTCTTCAGAAAGTATCTATTGCGTTACTTTCAAGTACATTTTTAAATGCTTAAATGTGACCCCACCTCCACCCCTCTTTAAGGGAACTTAAAATACATGTTCAATTATTGATAAATGATAAATCTGAATATTATAATGAAATGGACACTTAATACAACACATTATTAACAGAAACAATGTGCACAAATCTAAACTATTTTAATGTTGCTGTGGGACAAAGTGAGACTAGCCTCCAATCAAATGCCATGTATGTAGATAATATGTTTATATAGTGGATCGATACAAATAACACCATAGATGTTTTGGAACTTTTGATATTGATTGCCCCTCAACAGGGCAAAATTAAATTATGCTTATTAAGCACTATACCAAAAATAAATATCAAATATATACACTCTCTGTAGTCCAAATAAAACAAAAAAAATTCATACTCGCCATACCTTTCTCTCATTGACTGACTCGCTTGTGTTGTTCGTTGTGTGTCTGACGATGCGTGCTTTCGAACACCTGCCCAACTCTACCTCTGATTGGCTTACCATGAAATTTTACTCAACCTCAGCCAATCGTCAGCATTTATGCGCTTGTCTCGTGCACTGCCCACTAACAACGGAAGAACAGTAAAAAAAAGTCTTTGCCGCTCGGCTCAGAGATCTAGTTGGTCTGATGAAAAAAAACAGCTTCAATTATATTAATACGCCGCATTTTTGGGCAGTAACGGTAACAACGTTATTAAGATGGGAAGAGTAATCAATTAGATTACTCATTACTGAAAAAAGTAACGCCGTTAGTAACACCGTTATTTATAACGCCGTTATTCCTATCACTGCTGTTCTCTCTCTTTCAGCCCTTCTCTGTTGTTAGGTGGCTCCTGACTGAACTTGTTATGCAAGAATAACACAAACATTCCAAAAGTGTTCATTATATGTGGTAATGTCTTAAATGTCTTGTCTATACATTTTTTTATAAAAACCTTCGTTAACTATTAGCTTAGGACTTATCCCTTTTGTTAATTCATATTAATTACTTATTTTCTGTCCATAGAAACATTTGTTTCAATGTGATGTTTGTTTTTTTCTTTAGTTTTCTGCTAGAATTTAACCTGTACAGCTGGTGGAATGTCGATCTTTCAGTTAAAGGTAACTATAGTTGATATCTGTACGTTTGTTGTGTGTGAGAAAGAGAGGTGAAAGTGTGAGAGAACTGGACACGTTCTCTGCATATTTGTGGTTTAGTCAACTTCTGTGGTTCTTAATTTCCTTTCACACACATTCAGCTCAGAGATCTCGGGGTAAAACAATGATGGTGCCATGTGACACAGAATATCCTGCCTTTGTCTCTGAACGCACCATTAAAGAAACAACAGGCAACATCGACTGAGACGGCTGTGTCAGGTACTGCTTCAGGCCAACTTAAAATAGTTAACCACCGCCTTTTCTAACAATATCTCTGAACAGTAAATGTTCAGTCTGATACTACTTCCTTATAAGTTTTTAATTCCAGTCTCTGTGTGAAATGTGATAAACTGAAGTTTCAGAAGGACATAAAGAAGCCTGAATCATGGAAAGCATGAGTCTTTATGCTAAGCTAACTGAGCTGCTGTAGCTTCATGTAGTACAGATGTGAAAGTGGTAGCAATCTTCTGTGTGTCCGTTGTTGTATGACTTGTACATTATGCTATCCAGCCATCCATAAGGATTATCTATTTTGGTTACGTTAATGTCATATTTGCTATTAGGGTCAAATTCAGGCTCATCTTATTCAACTGTAATGAAACAATAAACAATGGGTACTTAGTCAAAATGATGCAATGTCGCACTTCATGGGCTCAGTGGTTAGCACTGTGGCCTCACAGCAAAAGGTCCTGGGTTAGTCATAATGTTATAGTTTTGGCCACCATGGGTAATAATATAATTGTACTCATAAGGTTGAAATAAAATAAAGATGTGTTGCTTGAACATTTGGTTAACCTGTTGGTATCTGTACAACCAGTCTGATCTTCGGACTTTATTGTATCGATGCTGCTGTGTTTCCAGAGCTTTTGATCTACTACGATCAATCGAAACTGTGCCCAAACTACAAAAACAGTTCACATCTATTTCCATCCACTACCGTCTTTACCAAATAAAACTAATATATCCACCCTCTAATATTTAAAACATACCCTGTACAGCTCCATATGTATCATATGTGACTGTTTTCTGGGAATGCCATGGAGTGTGGTTCAGCAACACACCCCTCCAGTGCTCTGACAGCAGCTCTGCTCCGTCTGATAGCAGCGACCATCAGCAGGTGACCGTTAGCAGCACAGGTGGACATCAGTAAGGACTAAATCAACAAGAAGATGCTTATAAACACATAGAGAACATGGCCATGTCATATGTGAAAAGAATGCAGAGTGGTCTGTATTTTGGGCAGTAAATTGCTAAAAAAAAAAAAACACTGACAGCAACGTCATAGGTTCATTTCTTCAAATAGTTTATTTTGTAACTAAATTCTTTTAGACATCAGTGATAATATGGATAATGTAAAATACCTGAGAGACAAGCTAAAATATGCATGAAAAAGATCACAGAATGATTCCTTATATACAGTCATAATTTATTAACTGAAATATTTTCCTTCATTCATTTACTCCTTGTCTTATTTTTCTTTAGCTAAAAAAAGACTATCAATAAATAGATAGATATATTCATTTTATCAATTTAAAATGTACATTAATAATAAAAAGCAGTTCAGTGTATGGTATCATTGGGAGACTGTGAGCTAAAACATACAGTGTATGTATAGTAGCAGTACGTAAATTTATTCATAGTGCATAGAAGTCTTAGACAAAATACATGTATATCCATTCACAAACAAATTTACTTATATGAGAAACTAAATACATTTTGAATCTTGATCTAAAGAAGTATGGATTCAAATGCAGGGTGTAACCCATGCTGTGCTTTGTATGTAATAAGCCATAACCTGATTGGGTCTGGCTGTAAAGTTTGGAAAACTTTGATAAAAAGCTGAAGTTGTCTTCTTTCTTTATACAGTATAAAACAATTTGCCTTTCAGTGTTTCTGCACGGTGCTATACATCATGTCCTTCAGGGCAAATGTAGCTGGCTCCTCAGAGATGGTGCAGTACATATGGTATGTGTCACCCTGGGAAAAGAAGAAAAAGACTTTATGTAACTGTAATATATAACTGTAACAAATATATTTAATATTGTTCCTTATGTCAGACTCACATTCTCATTTTGAGGCTCCTGCTCTTTCACTTCCTCAGGACCTGCTAGTGTGAAAGACACACACAGTAAGATGATCTGGCATTGTATTGCATAGTCTGTGTATGAAGTAAGTAAATGAAGAACAGTGTTAGTTCAGGCAGAGTGCTGAAGCTGTGGTTGCAGTAGCTGACATTATCTGTTTCCTTCATGCTTCACCATCAGCGGCTCTCTCATCAGCTGTGTGGCTTTCAGCACAGCCATTATAAATGGATACTTTCCGCTGATATTCTGTTGATACACCACATGCCAACGACATTTACTGCTACAGCTCCCTTCACCTTTGTTGATTTTACCAAATTTTATGCTGGACTTGACAAACCGTGGAATTCCTTGACTAGTGTTTCTGACTGAAGTAGTTACTTTTTTTTGCTTAAGTCTATAAAACTGAGTAAATCTCAAGAGACAATGATTGTGAAAATACAACTATTAAAACCAAGATTTTGGTTTTATTAGACAAAGTTCTCACCAGCTCTTCTTTTGTTACAGCAAATTGCCAAAAGCATGATGGTGCCTGTGATTACTCCACAAGCAGTAACAACTACTCCAGACTTCCATATCCACGTTCCTGCTTTAAAAAACAGAAGTCATAAACAAGAGTCAGTTTGTTTCTCATAACATTAACAAATAGTAGGAAGATGTGCTGTGCATAACTACAGTGTTTCAATGTTAGTATAGTATGTTTTATTATGGTAATATAATAAAAATGTTGTACTATATATGAGGACTTACAAATACTCAACAGACGCTGTTTTCAGAGGGGTTTCTTTATCTTTAGTTAGTTTAGTTTTAGTGCCAGGCGTACTAACACTTGAATCTAATAATCCACAAATGTGTGTGAGTAGATTCAGTATTCATAGGAGTTATACTACGTCTGTTTCTTGAAGGCACAAAAATATATTATCGTTAAATATATGTTGTCTTCCTTTGTACTAGGAGCAGCAAATTATACAATAGGAAGTCTAACTGCATATAAGCATAAGCAACTGTATATCCATCACACACAATCAGAGTAACCAATCAGCAACCATCACCTAGTTTTTCCTTTGACTGGCTGATTTGTGTTAATCATAGTAAACACATTAAAGGTCCAGTGTTTAACATTTCTGAGGATCTATTAGCAGAAATGTAATATAATATTCATAGGTATGTTTTTGTTACCTTAGAATGAGCTGTTTTTTTATCTGCTGTAGCTCAAACAAACCAAACACTGGCTGTAGAATATTGTCTTTGCACTTCACAGCCAGTTCTGTGTCCCAAGATGCGAGTGGTGTTCAGTTAGTTGCAATCTCACTGCTAGATGCCACTAAATCCTACACACTGGTTCTTTAAATGTTTTAAATATATCAACATATCACATTTTCTAATGAATCAGTGTTAATCATTGAAAAACTGAATAATTGTATCACCTGATGCTGGTTTCACTGGTGTTAGGGAAGTGGAACAACCAGTATTACTTGATGTAGCAACAGGCCAACCTGGTGGAACAACAAAAGTACATTTAAATACATGTATAATTTTAGATTAACTAATTTCACTTAATATATATGTTATTTTGTTACCTGATGTTAGTTTTACAGAAGCACCAGACATCTTAACAGTCCAACCTGGTAAAATAAAAAGACAAATACATTTTCACAATGAGGTACTCTGTAATAATGTTTTGGACCACTACATTAAAGAAGTATCCTACCTTTGGTCACAGTAAATGTCGGCATTGTCTGGGTCATGCTTGACTCTTTTTCCACAATATCTAGAGGGAGAGGAGATACATTTAGTCTTATACATTTCCACTGTGTACAAACATTTGTTTACATTTGTAAATACTACGGAGCCCCTAAAGGGACATGGGAAAAAAAAAAAAATGAAATGTTTCTGGTGCGCACTAGATACTATCTTGTGAGCACTAGATATGGATCGCATCAACACATGGCTCATTTGAATATTAAAATTAGCCATGTGTTGATAGGTCACCACACGAAAATGTAACCAATGAAATTACTTATTTTGACACACATTGTGAGCCAATAAGTATTAAACAAACAAGGTAATGTGTCAAAAGGCGGACTGTTTTTGTTATTTTCTCAAAAGGAGGACAACTGAGTGTCCGGCTGCAGGACAGGGCATTTAAATGCGGACTGTAACAAAAAAGGTTACTACTGAGCCCCTAAAGGGACATGGGGGAAAAAAAATAAAGTAGTAGTAGTACTATCTAGATACTAAATAGGGATCCCGTGTTGTGGCAATCAACACATGGCTAATTTTAATATTCAAATGAGTATTGAACTAATTAGTCTGTAACTAAAAAATAAATGTAAATTAATCTGTAACCTACATTGAAATCATTAAAAAACTGAATAATGATGTCACCTGATGCTGGTTTCACTGGTGTTGGGGAAGTGGAACAACCAGTATTATCTGATGTACCAACAGGCCAACCTGGTGGAACAACAAGTACATTTCAATACACTTAAACATGTATAATTTTGGATTAACTAATGTCACTTAATATATATGTTATTTTGTTATTATCTTTTACCTGATGTTAGTTTTACAGAAGCACCAGACATCTTAACAGTCCAACCTAGCAAATAAAAAGACAAATACCTCTTCAACTTTTCACACTGAGGTACTCTGTAATAATGTTTTGGACCGCTACTTTAAAAAAATATCCTACCTTTGGTCACAGTAAATGTCGGCATTGTCTGGGTCATGCTTGACCCTTTTTTCACAATATCTAGAGGGAGAGGAGATACATTTAGTCTTATACATTTGTACAAACAAAAAAATATTTATGTAAACTGAAAACTCATTTAGGAAATACTAAATCACACTGGAACATAAAGAATATATATAATTTGAGATTAACTAATGTTATAGCTATATCTGTTTTTTGTTAATAACAATCTGTCAATCTGTTAATTTACAAAATGTCATACCTTTGGTCACACTATATGTTGGCATTGTCTGGGTCATGGATGACTCTCCTTCCACAATATCTATAGTAAGAGAAGATGAATCTTGGATTATACATTTCTTGTGTTTACAAATAGATAAATATTTATGTAAAATAATTATCTGTGTGTCATCTGCGTCATGTGAATTTGTAATATGTGATACAATCATGTAATGTGTAATACAATTGCTCAGAATAACAAATAATCTATCACACAAACAAAAAGCATATAAGTATTACGTTAACTCACAGTGTGCATTGTAATGTTAATGGTGGATGTTAAATTATTGTGTTCACACATGAAATTTTGCATTATGCCACCTTTCTTGCTCTGATACTGTATCAAGATACTGTACTGGCACTGTATCACCAGATGAGAGAAACAGTCACTCACTGTGTATGGTGATGGAGGATGTTTTGCTGTGTGGAGATTGAGACTTTAACTCTCCAACCTTTACAATGTAATAACATTTCACTTCAACCTCAGCAGGTGAACTCTGATGTGACATCTTCAGCAGTTCAGTTCCTGTAAGTGTCTTTATACAAGAGAAGACTCTGACAGTTCCTCCACTAACAGTGTAGAAATAACACTGAGACACAGAAAAAGATGGTGGAGTCTGACAGTTCAATGTGACTGAGTCCGTCTCTGTGATCAACAGTGGAGTCACTGTCAGTTCAGGTGGAAGAAGAGCTGAAAATGTAGGCATAAATAAAGGAAAATGTAATTTATTTTAAAAACATTTCTGATTATAAATTTACGATGGCAGATCATACCCATTAACATATTAATAATATTAGGATATTAGTGCATAGCAGCAGTGCTCACTCACTGTGTATGGAGACTGTGGATATGTTACTGTGTAGATATGGAGAATTTAACTCTCCAACCTTTACAATGTAATAACATTTCACTTCAACCTCAGCAGGTGAACTCTGATGTGACATCTTCAGCAGTTCAGTTCCTGTCAGTGTCTGCAGACAAGAGAAGCTTCTGACAGTTCCTCCACTAACAGTGTAGAAATAACACTGAGACACAGAAAAAGATGGTGGAGTCTGACAGTTCAATGTGACTGAGTCCGTCTCTGTGATCAACGGTGGATTCACTGTCAGTTTAGGTGGAAGAAGATCTGAAAATAAAAGTTTTAGTATTTTGTGACATACTAAATAGTTGTATTAACACGATAATATTCCTAATGAAAAATTGTGATTTAATGTGGGAAAGTAAAGGAAAATACATTGTACAACCAAACTGTGTGTTAAAATGTTCATATTAATAACATTAATACATTTAATACATTTCTCATACAGTAACATACACAAACATAGTTGGACATGAAAGATAACAGATCAGAGACTGACCTTGAGCTTGAATCTTGTGAAAGGAGTCTGTTGGAAATATGTGTTAACAAGGTAAATAGACGTAATGATAATTCATCAGTAACAATTGATGAATTATTGCCAACATTATAAACAGCAACATGTAGAAAAAGACTAAAACTGATATATTTAGTTTGTCCCAGTGGGGGAATTATTACTGCAGTTCCACGATAAGTTTACAAGTAAACAGCACAGAGCAACAACACACATAAAGTCATCAACAGAGATGTAGTGTGGTATGACATGTTGATACATAATGGCTGACATTATAATTTAATGTCATGTCATGCAAGTGTGAACCTGCATTGGTTTGTAATAATCTACATTAATAATGAAATAATCCATAAGAGGTTTAACTTACACATGAGGAAGACAAACAACAGGCGTCCAGCCATGATGAAGCTGACTACTGAGACTGTCCATAAAGATACTTCAGTGTCTGACTACAGACTCTGACATACTTAAGTGTCACTGCGCTAAATTTGCTCTCAGGAAACCCACAGCTAGCATCATATGATAATCACACAGACAGAGAGGCCACAGAAACACACACTCTTGACATAGCTAATCTGTAAAAAAAAAAAAAAAAAAAAAAAAAAAAAAAGGAAAATATATATATATAAATAATGAATCATCCAAAGTGAACTCTGAAGAAATATGATTGTGTTTGTTTATTATTTCTGTTGCTTTATTGTTGTTTTTCACAGACAGCAGCTTTATATTTTTTTCCCATATTAGTAAATACACAAACTGAACAATATGTAGAGTCACAGTATGTGTGTGTGTGTGTGTGTGTGTGTGTCAGTGTAAGCAAACGCAGTCTTGACTTAAATAATTTTTGAAAATGGCTCACATTAAATGTTCATGTCCATGTTCATGCAGTCATTTCATGTTTGTCCTGAACATTCAATCATTGTACCAACTGCATGTTCTTCCCTATAAAATGTCTCATTCCTCTTATGTAAAGCATTTAGGTACAAAGATGTTTTTTTTTATGTTTAAAGCACTATATAAATAAATATGAACTAGAACTTTTGAAATTCGTGGGACTTTTTTTTACCAATTGTGTATATTGTTTGTTTGTTTTTTGTTATTCAATGCAATATATGATACACGTTATTGTCAATCTAGCAAAGTTCTGTGGTGGCAACTGAATTTTAGTTCTTGTCTAGTGCATATGAGAATATGGCAATCAAAACCCAAGTCGACACAATGTGCTGCATCTCTACCCATCTTTATTGCTTTCAAGCAGAAGTCACTGACTGCATCTAGCAGATGACTGAAGAGAAGTCTCTCGTATAACATTTCACAAAAAAACATATCAACTGTAACCAACTAACAAGAAACAGATGATTTTACTCATTATCCAAGCTATCTTTTCTTAAAAAAAATTATCATAAGACACATTTTTCGTCTCCTTACTCTTCTATGTTACATAAAATCATATGACCATCTCATAAAAACTTCAACATACACTGTTCAACCATAACATTATGACCATTATTAGGCAGCAAGTGAACATTTTGTCCTCAAAGGTGACGCGTTAGAAGCAGGAAAAATGGGCAGCTTGTGGATTTGAGCGACTTTGACAAGGGTCAAATTGTGATGACCAGACGCCTCGGTTCAGAGCATCTCCAAAACTGCAGCTCTTGTGGGGTGTTCCTGGTCTGCAGTGGTCAGTACCTATCAAAAGGGTTCCAAGGAGTGGTGAAGCGGTGAAGCAGCAACCAAGGCTCATTGATGCACGTGGGGAGTGAAGGCTGGCCTGTGTGATCTGATCCAACATTCGAGCTACTGTAGCTCGAACTGCTGAAAAAGTTAATGCTGGTTCTGAGAGAAATGTGTCAGAACATTGGTATGGGGCTGCAGAACATTATGACCACCAGGATGCCCAGGTGGTCATAATGGCTGATTGGTGTATGTTCCTTTGTATTACAAGGGGCTACTTGAGTTCAATTGCCAAACAACTTAATCAACAACACTTAATCATACATGATATACATAAGAGACTTGTATTCATCATACAGAAAGCATATACATATATACATAACATCAGAATCAGCAACAGAAAACAAGCTCACCAAGGTTCAATTGAAATATTACAACATTCTAATATCTGCTCTGTAAATAAAAATCAGTTTAAATAGCCTTTAGAGTGCTTTACACTGTATGTCAGAGGGCTGATGTAGCTGCTTCTTTTAGCTGCTGCTGTCTAACAGAAAGAAAAAAGAAAGAAACATACATTACTTAACTGCCCTCAGTTGTTTCTGTCACATTATACCTGTAATGTTCAACAGAACTTGTGATGAATCAACCTATCTGAGAACCTGATACTTTATTCAGGAAGAGAAAAGCAGCTCACCAGTGTTCATTCATAGATGACGATACTGTATGTTTCACTGTACGCACCCTGCAAATTATTATGTAAAACAATGGAGAGAGGGAGAGTGAGAGCAGCCTTATCTAAGACAGAATAATCACTGCAGGAGGGAAAAACCTTTCAAGCAGTAGTTTTGAAATCTTTCACACTTACCATATATTCCCTGTGATCTAAAACAGAAACCAAAGAACAACTTAACACACTGTAACAAAAAACACAAAAAAATATTTTGGTGAGGTTATAATTCTTACCAATCCTGCTTTGAGTAAAGAGGAGAGCCAATCCAAGGACAGCATCCAGAGTCACAACTGCTCCAATTACCAATATCATCTTCTCTGCATTGAGAGAAAACGAATTAGTTCCTGCCTACATAAAGCAATGACACACAAATGGTCTGTACTTGTATAGTGCCGTTCTAGTCCAGTTCCAACCACTCAAGGCGCTTTTACACTACATGCCACATTTGCCCTTTCACATCCATTCACACAGTGATGGTAAAGTCCATCAAACAGAACTCATTCATTCACTTTCACAGTATCTTGCTCAAGGATACTTCCACATGCAGTGGTCGATTGAACCAACAGCCTTCCGATTAGTGAATGATATGCTCTACCTCCCCTACACAAGACTAAGACTTTGAGTCTGGTGGACCTGAGAAATAGTAATGTTTAAACTGACAATATGAAAGTGTTGGATTGAATGAAAAACTTCTGCTCTGAGATTTAGCAGTGTTAGGTCAAAAGCTATGAAGCTTTTTATATGATTTTTAATATTGTGTTTACTTATTCATAGTGTGCGGACACACACAATATCACAAATAGTGATCTATACTATTACAGTGTTGTAATTCATGAATAACCCACTAATTAATAATCTAATAATATAAAACATTTGTTTACATTTGTAAATACTACGGAGCCCCTAAAGGGACACGGGGGAAACATTTCTAGTGCGCACTAGATACTATCTTGTGAGCACTAGATATGGATCGCATTAACACATGGCTCATTTGAATATTCAAATGAGCCATGTGTTGATAGGTCACCACACGAAAATGTAACCAATGAAATTACTTATTTTGACACATATTTTAAGCCAATAAGTATTAAACTAACAAGGTAATGTGTCAAAAGGCGGACCGTTTTTGTTATTTTCTCAAAAGGAGGACAACTGAGTGTCCGGCTGCAGGACAGGGCATTTAAATGCGGACTCTAACAAAAAAGGTTACTATGGAGCCCCTAAAGGGACGTGAGGGAAAAAAAAAAATTAAACGTTTCTAGTGCACACTAGATACTATCTAGTGCGCACTAGATAGGGATCCCATGTTGTGGCAATCAACACATGGCTAATTTTAATATTCAAATGAGTATTAAACTAATTTGTCTGTAACTAAAAAATAAATGTAAATTAATCTGTAACCTACCCCGAGGTGACATGAGAAAATAAAAAAGTGACGAGAAAAAAAAAAGATTTAAAATAAAAAAATAAATAAAAAAGTGACAAGAAAAAAAAATTAAAAATAAAAAAAAAGATCTTGAGTTTCAAAGCCAAGATCTCGCAATGCTTTTTTTTTTTTTTTCATGTCACCTGGGGGCTCTGTAAAAAATGGCTCATCATGCCCTGTCTTAAATCACCCTGGACCTTGTAATCCAATACTGAAGTAGAGTCAACTGTTCGGGACCAATTTCTTTTTATATTAAAAACAGTGTTAATGCCATCTAATCAGAGGAGGACAGCCCACCTCTACCAGACCCAGCTCTGTCTGTGAAACTGCTACGCTCATTTTCAAATGTATGTATACTTACTACACAAAAGATGCATTATTCACAGGAGTTTAGATTTAGTATTGTATAGTATAGTATTTTTCTATATTGGCGCAGTGGTTCAGACTTGTGCTTCTAACAACTGTAGAAGCACCAGACTGCAATCTGTACCTTGATCTCTTGCACTGACAGTCCCCCCCACAGACACACACATACTGGCGAGTTAGGTAGATAGAATATTGGCTTTGCACCTCACAGCCAGTTCTCATTCCCAAGGTCATCACATACAGACGCGAGTGGTGTTCGTTTGTGTTAGTTGCAATCTGCAACTTCACTGCTAGATGCCACTAAATCCTACACACTGGTTCTTTAAATGTTTTAAATATATCTACATTTTCTAATGAATCAGTGTGAATCATTGAAAAACTGAATAATGATGTCACCTGATGCTGGTTTCACTGGTGTTGGGGAAGTGGAGCAACCAGTATTATCTGATGTACCAACAGGCCAACCTGGTGGAACAACAAGTACATTTCAATACACTTAAACATGTATAATTTTGTATTAACTAATGTCACTTAATATATATGTTATTTTGTTATTATTTTTTACCTGATGTTAGTTTTACAGGAGCACCAGACATCTTAACAGTCCAACCTGGCAAATAAAAAGACAAATACCTCTTCAACTTTTCACACTGAGGTACTCTGTAATAATGTTTTGGACCGCTACTTTAAAAAAATATCCTACCTTTGGTCACAGTAAATGTCGGCATTGTCTGGGTCATGCTTGACTCTTTTTCCACAATATCTAGAGGGAGAGGAGATAGATTTGGTCTTATACATTTCCACTGTGTACAAACAAAAAAATATTTACGTAAACTGAAAACTCATTTAAGAGATACTAAATCACACTGGAACATAAAGAATATATATAATTTGAGATGAACTAATGCTATAGCTATATCTGTTTTTGTTAATAACAATCTGTCAATCTGTTAATTTACAAAATGTCATACCTTTGGTCACAGTTAATGTTGGCATTGTCTGGGTCATGGATGACTTTTTCCACAATATCTATAGTAAGAGAAGATGAATCTTGGATTATAAATTTCTTGTGTTTACAAATACATAAATATTTATGTAAAATAATTGTCTGTGTGTCATCTGCATCATGTGAATTTGTAATATGTGATACAATCATGTAATAATGTGTAATACAATTGCTCAGAATAACAAATAATCTATCACACAAACAAAAAGCATATAAGTATTACGTTAACTCAAAGTGTGCATTGTAAGGTTAATGGTGGATGTTAAATTATTGTGTTCACACATGAAAGTTTGCATTATGCCACCTTTCTTGCTCTGATACTGTATCAAGATACTGTACTGGCACTGTATCAACAGATGAGAGAAACAGTCACTCACTGTGTATGGTGATGGAGGATGTTTTGCTGTTTGGAGATTGAGACCTTAACTCTCCAACCTTTACAATGTAATAACATTTCACTTCAACCTCAGCAGGTGAACTCTGATGTGACATCTTCAGCAGTTCAGTTCCTGTAAGTGTCTTTATACAAGAGAAGACTCTGACAGTTCCTCCACTAACAGTGTAGAAATAACACTGAGACACAGAAACAGACGGTGGAGTCTGACAGTTCAATGTGACTGAGTCTGTCTCTGTGATCAACAGTGGAGTCGCTGTCAGTACAGGTGGAAGAAGAGCTGAAAATGTAGGCATAAATAAAGGAAAATGTAATTTATTTTAAAAACATTTCTGATTATAAATTTACGATGGCAGATCATACCCATTAACATATTAATAATATTAGGATATTAGTGCATAGCAGCAGTGCTCACTCACTGTGTATGAAGACTGTGGATATGTTACTGTTTGGAGATTGAGACTTTAACTCTCCAATCTTTACAGTGTAATAACATTTCACTTCAACCTCAGCAGGTGAACTCTGATGTGACATCTTCAGCAGTTCAGTTCCTGTCAGTGTCTGCAGGCAAGAGAAGCCTCTGACAGTTCCTCCACTAACAGTGTAGAAATAACACTGAGACACAGAAACAGATGGTGGAGTCTGACAGTTCAATGTGACTGAGTCTGTCTCTGTGATCACCGGTGGATTCACTGTCAGTTTAGGTGGAAGAAGATCTGAAAATAAAAGTAAACATATATTTTGTGACATACTAAATAGTTGTATTAACACGATAATATTCCTAATGAGAAATTGTGATTTAATGTAGGGAAAGTAAAGGAAAATACATTGTACAACCAAACTGTGTGTTAAAATGTTCATATTAATAACATTAATACATTTAATACATTTCTCATACAGTAACATACACAAACATAGTTGGACATGAAAGATAACAGATCAGAGACTGACCTTGAGCTTGAATCTTGTGAAAGGAATCTGTTGGAAATATGTGTTAACAAGGTAAATAGACGTAATGATAATTAATCAGTAACAATTGATGAATTATTGCCAACATTATAAACAGCAACATGTAGAAAAAGACTAAAACTGAAATATTTAGTTTGTCCCAGTGGGGGAATTATTACCGCAGTTATGAGTATAAATGTAAATACGTTTACAAATAAACAGCACAGAGCAACAACTCACATAAAGTCATCAATCATAAAAAATATCAAACAGAGGTGTAGTGTGGTATAACATGCTGATACATAATGTTTGATATTATAATTTAATGTCATGTCATGCAAGTGTGATTTGTAATAATCTACATTAATAATGAATTAATCTATAAGAGGTTTAACTTACACATGAGGAAGACAAACAACAGGCGTCCAGCCATGATGAAGCTGAATACTGAGACTGTCCATAAAGATACTTCAGTGTCTGACTACAGACTTTCACATGCTTACGTGTCATTCTAAAGACCTTGTTCTCAGTAAAACCACAGCCAGCATCATATATTAATCTTATTAACATACAGGTTATAGAATCATTTTTAAAATATCAATATGTTTTAGGTTAAATCAACCACACTGGAGGCTAAACTGTTTCAGCTTTTTCCATATTTACAGTTTCTACCGACCACTTGCACACTGAAAGTGAATGCTTAGACCAAAGCATCAAAACCTTAACTTTTGTAACCATGTCTTGAACAAAGGCACCAAAAGTACAAACTCATTTTCTGCTTTGCACTTTGTTTGCAATTCTGCAACACACTTCTTGCAAAACACTGCGCACCGTTTCTGGCATTTAGACAATTTGTTAGGAAACACTCATAAGGCAAAAACACACCTAAAATTGGCAACACACAAGAAAACTTTATACATACGGTATACACTTAATGAACACTAATCAAAATGATGGACCAGGACGGAATAGCTCCACCGTGCTGCTCTGGTCAGGGACTGATTCACCAACCATAATACTGTAACTTTCACAGTTGTTGGCATTAGCAAGTAGCAACTGTATGACCGCCTGCCTCTTCTGCAAGCAATGGAAGTGGCACATTCATTGTCCTGTAAGGTAAGCAGTGTTAGTGGCGGCCTGCATCCTTTTAAAATATCTTCACTAAAAACACCCATCTAGTTATTATGTTCATCTGATGTGTTAATTTACATGTTAGTTTAAATTTCGTTGTGGGTTTGAGAAGCGAACACTTGTTTTTATGAAAACTTTGGCTGTAATGTTGGCTAGCTTGCTGTGCATGAGCCTGTTCGGTGGAAATAGTGCAGGATTAAGCATTATTCTTTCAGTTTGCTGTTTTAAGTCATTTAATTTATTTTTATGAAGTCATATGTTTATGGAGTGCCTTATTTAAGTTACACTTCCTGTAATTTATCATTTTCAGTTGTAGAGTATTATCTTGACAATATATTTGTTTATTTGCACTAGAGTATAGTAAACACCCTATCACAACCATAAACACAACGCAGAGTCTCTAGATGTATAGGGAGGCTTCAGCACATCCAGTGGGTTACAGACAGTAGAAAATATTTTGTGTTTAAAGAGTTATATAAATCAATGTGGGCCTGAACTTCAGCTTTGTGTATAATGTTTTTATTATTTAAAGCATGACGCACATGATACATGATATCTTCTGACCAAACTTCAGTCTCCATCAATTCAATAAAAATTTACAACATTCTAATATCTGCTCTGAAAGACAATGATCTATATAATGTTTACATCAATTAACTGTACATAAAAAAGCAAAGCGAAAAACAACTTTTATATTTCAAGGTGACTTTGGAGTGCTGTACACTGTATCTCTCTGAGCTGCTGCTCTTGTCACTCTGAAAAGAAAGACACACACACACACAACTTAACTGTCCTCAGGGAAGAGTAAATGTTTGCCAGTGTTATGCATTTGTGATGGCGAGGATAAGGGGAAAATAAACCTAATAATTTGACCAACAACCAAATTAGGGAAAGGAACCGACAACGCCACCCTGGGAATTTCACCCAGAGAATTAATTTGGAAAGGACACAGGTAAGTTTACTCCATAAGGCGTGAGACGTGGTTCAGGTAATTATAGAAAAATATACAATTTTATTATTGAATAAGTAGGTAAAAAGAGTTCCAATTTCATTCATACAAACGAAGATCAAACAGGGGAATCCAACCAAAGGGGAGGGGGCTGGAGCTGAGTGTATGGACAGGGGCTTAGTGCAGGGGGGAGGGATTCACCCAAAATGAGAAATCAACTCAAAAACACCCGACATACGTGACACTCAGTGAAGTGAAACCGCTTCCCCGGACACAGCAGACAGAAGGGGACACCACCACCAGTCTCCAGCAACTAAAAGGAGAAATAAACAAGTTAATGGGCAAAACACAAAACAAAAGGGCAAATAATCTTAACCAATATCAATAACTGCCCACTTTAAGAAATGAAAAATGAACTAAACAAATTTAAATAAATAATCAATCCAAAATAACAAAATTACTCAAATAACCTAGCACTCATCCACACACGCACACATGGAGGCCAGGCCCCAGTTAAAACACACAAGCGTGAGTCTGACAGAGCTGCTCTGGAGCACGGCGTGGGCCGCAGCGACCGCCAGATGAAGCCAAACAGAGCGGAGCAAGAGCAGCCGCGCAGCGAAGCAGCGTGGAGACAGTCTCCGACAAGCAGCGTGGAGACAAGGCAAAGCAGCAGCATTTGAAACAGGACAAAGCAGCACCGACCCCAATCAGCTGATCGCACGTTACACCTAATGATAGAAAACATACCATTAGCGTCACTACGTTTAACCGTAAATACTGCGGTTGATGATTACTATACTGACACACCCATTCGCACTGGAGGAGGGAGGGAGAGAGAAGACCGGCCACTGCTGGCATTTACCTGTGACCACACTAACGTTAACCCTCAGACAGCATCAGCTACAATGGCAAGAGAGGGAGGACACTTACCACGCACAAACTACGCCACACATATGGGAAACACGGAGCAGCTGCCATACAAACAAACACAAATGCCGTGAGCACGCAGAAAGGACCGAGCGACCAGTGTGGTGAAACAGCTGGCAAACATACCTGTCGGGTCAACGACCTATGACCCGGAAGTGACACCAGTGACGACAGAGGCGCAAAAGGAATAGCCAGGAAGGGTGGTGGCTTTTATACTGGCCCACCTCCTGACGGCCACCTGTGGCGCTAAATACACAACAGCAGCACTGAATGACAGGTAGCACTGTATACTGCTACACATTCATGAAGATATTACAATTGCACATGTTTCTGTCATGCCACAATAACAGAGAATACACACATAATCATGATAACTGTAATGTCTATTAATATTCTGGCCACTTTTAAGCATTTTAGCAGAACCTGCACCACCAAGTGATGAATCAAGCTGTCTGAGAACCTGATACTTCATTCAGGAAGTGAAAGCAGCTCACCAGTGTTGCATTCATAGAAGACGGTACTGTATGTTTCATCATAATCACCCTGTAAATTATTTAATGAAATAATGAGGGGGAGAAAGAGCATTATCTCATGAAAAACCTTTTAGTAGAAGGAGTTTTGAAATCTCTTTCTCTGCTGACACTTACCATATATTCCCTGTCATCTAAAACAGAAACCAAAGAAAAACTTAATACAGTATAACAAAAACTGTAATAGAAACATTAATGTATAAATAACAGTCATATTGCATTGGCTTGCAATGTAGTTTATGTAAATGAGAAAAATACTTTTTAATTTACCAGTGAAGTTTGCTTTTGGTCTAAATGGAAAAAAATAGAAAAACAGGTTTTATAAACAGTGTGTCATTAGAGAGGAAAGTAAAAGCACTGTACACATTTACAAATAAATATACTCTATTATTCTCCCTAAACATCTCTAAATGATGTGACTGAAAAGTGTTTCTGTTATATAAAATATGAGCTGGATCTTTCTGACCTGACAGTTGTCAGACTGTTACTCTGCTGATTTATGTCTACACCTACAGTTGCTGCTGCAGCTTGCTCCAGAAACTCAACCTCTTCCTTACTATGCTTTTAATTTAATATGTGTCAGTCGACTTTACAAGAATCTACTGTGATGAATGTTTACAGCAATATGTCTGAATTCTGCCAAATGTCCACGTGCCGTTAATCAAAGCACTTAATCTGTGACTGTTGAGCAGCTCAGCAGCTGCGAGAGTGAACGTCTGAAACTCTGAAGGTAAACCACAGCAGTGATGGAAAAGAAGATACAATAGAAATATAACATAGAGGTGTTACTCACTCAAGTTCACATGATAATATTTGAGAAATAAGGTTTCTTACCTATTTGAAAGGCAGTTTTCTATAAAATGCAAAAAATCAACCAGTAATTACAGATCTACGAAATGTCAATAATCAATAATAAAACAGGGATACTGGATATTTGCTATCAGAAACTGATATCAATTGCCTTTCATTGAAAGTAATATGAAGCTACATTCAGTATTTCCTACAATAACAGCTGCATTTTAGAATAAACACTCAAATAAACTTTTGTGAGGTTTTAATTCTTACCAGTCCTGCTTTGAATAAAGAGAAGTGCCAATCCAAGTAAGACAGCATCCACAGTCACAACTGCTCCAATAATCAATATTATCTTCTCTGCATTGAGAGAAGAGGCCATTGACAAGTGCCTGCTGGTTAACATAAAGGATTGAAGACAAGCACAAAGTCATCTCTACCACCACGCTAGTGCAGAGCGAACACAGTCGCAAGACTAAAAACCTTGAGTCCTGCTGGTCGACCACAGAAACAGAAATGTTGATTAAACCCACAATATGAAAGTGTTTGATGGATGAACAACTTGCTTCTGCTCCCTGAGATATACCCTAACGCCGAGACTTTTTCTCATTTTTCACAGTGGATCTGACTGAAATACTTTAAATTATGTGTACAGTTTGTTAAGC